TAGCAACAGGAATGTCAACAACAAATGTTTTGGTGAAGCCTTAGAGGATGTCTGCACAGAGAATGAAAGAGGAAGAGAAATCATTAGACAAGAGTGAAGTCATTGTATTCTCAGAGAATCAAGATAATCTGGTGCTGCTGTCCAGTAGAACTTTCTGTGATAATGAAAATGTCACATATATGTACTGTTCAGTGGCATATGTGGCCACTAAGTACTGGAAATGTGCTCAGTTGAGTGAGGAACAGGATTTTTTATTTTAACATTTATTACTAGTGGATAGCATGTTGGATAGCAAAGAACTAGAGTATAAGACACTAAAGGATGAGAGTTAAGAATTGGAATGGTGACCACAGTATTCATATGCAAAGATTCCTGTGTGTGTGTGTGTGTGTGTGTGTGTGTGAGAGAGAGAGAGAGAGAGAGAGAGAGAGAGAGAGAGAAGGGGGGTGTGGTTGGACTGTGAAAAAAGAACAGAACAAATCAGAAAAAAAGAACTAACATTTGTTGAATACTATAGGTAATAAAATTTTATGTATATATTTAAATACATCCTGTAAGGTAAAACCCATCTGAGTTTTGGTGAACAAGCCAAGAGAAGTTAACTACCTGTAGTTTGTATAGCTAATAAATGATTGGATATTTAGATACATGTTCAAAACCCATGCTATTCTTCCATACTATTCTGCCTTTCAAAATGAGATAACAGAGTAGGAACTGAGTGAATAACAGTACGAAAGAGACAATTTTCTGAATTTTTCATGTTTAGTACTCTATTTATCTTTTACTTCTTAAACTCAGAAAGTATCTGTTTTAAAATGCATGTGATGGCAATATCTGAAGTTTTTTCAGGTTTATTTCTATTGTCTTTTATTTCTGCTGGTTCCTGCTCATGGTGCAGTATGTCTTGTGTAGTTGGATATCTGTGATTATAAGTTATCCATTTTTTTAAACTTTTATTTAATGAATATAAATTTCCAAAGTACAGCTTATGGATTACAATGGCTTTCCCCCCCCATAACTTCCCTCCCACCCGCAACCCTCCCCTCTCCCACTCCCTCTCCCCCTCCATTCACATCAAGATTCATTTTCAATTCTCTTTATATACAGAAGATCAATTTAGCATATATTAAGTAAAGCTTTCAACAGTTTGCACCCACACAGAAGCACAAAGTGCAAAATACTGTTTGAGTACTATTTATAGCATTAAATCATGATGTACAGCACATTAAGGACAGAGATCCTACGTGGGGAGTAAGTGCACAGTGACTCCTGTTGTTGACTTAACAAATTGACACTCTTGTTTATGGCCTCAGTAATCACCCTAGGCTCTTGTCTTGAGTTGCCAAGGCTATGGAGGCCTTTTGAGTTCGCCGACTCTGATCATATTTAGACAAGGTCATAGTCAAAGTGGAAGTTCTTTCCTCCCTTCAGAGAAAGGTGCCTCCTTCTTTGATGACCTGATCTTTCCACTGGGATCTCACTCGCAGAGATCTTTCATAGGTTTTTTTTTGTTTTGTTTTGTTTTGTTTTGTTTTGTTTTTTTTTTTTTGCACAGGGTCTTGATTTTCCATGCCTGAAATACTCTCATGGGCTTTTCAGCCAAATCCGAATGCCTTAAGGGCTGATTCTGAGGCCAGAGTGCTGTTTAGGACATCTGCCATTCTATGAGTCTGCTGTGTATCCACTTCCCATGTTGGATAGTCCTCTCCCTTTTTAAAAAATACTTTTTCAAATACTTTTCAGACAAGGAAGAAGATACCTTCTCCAGAGAAAGTTTGTTTTTGTATCTGCCTGGTAACTGTTAAGGATACCAGCCCTATGAGGCAGTGCTGTGGTGCAGTGGGTTAAGGTCCAGGCCTGAAGTGCCGGCATCCCATATGGGCGCTGGGTTCTAGTCCCAGCCGCTCCTCTTCTGATCTAGCTCTCTGCTATGACCTGGGAAGGTAGTGGAGGGTGGCCCAAGACCTTGGGCCCCTGCACCAACGTGGGAGACCTGGAAGAAGCTCCAGGCTCCTGGCTTTGGATCAGTGCAGTTCTGGCCAATGTGGACATCTGGGGAGTGAACCAGCAGATGGAAGACCTCTCTTTCTGTCTCTACCTCAAAAGAATAAAAAAGGGCTGGTGCCCTGGCTTACTTGGCTAATCCTCCGCCTGCAGCGCTGGCACCCCGGATTCTAGTCCCGGTTGGGGCACCGGATTCTGTCCCGCTTGCTCCTTTTCCAGTCCAGCTCTCTGCTGTGGCCCGGGAGTGCAGTGGAGGATGGCCCAAGTGCTTGGGCCTTGCACCCACATGGGAGACCAGGAGGAGGCGCCTGGTTCCTGGCTTCGGATCTGCGCAGTACGCCGGCCTTAGAGGCCATCTGGGGGGTGAACCAACGGAAAAGGAAGACTTTTCTTTCTGTCTCTCCATCTCTCTCTCACTGTCTAACTCTGTCTGTCAAAAAAATAAAATAAAATAAAATAAAAAAAGAATACCAGTCCTGGATCAACTTAGATTTAAAACTGGAAAAGTGCGTAAGCATTGTGGACTTGGGCTATAATCCACTGGTTTTGAGAGGTGATTTACTTTACTTCTGCCAATTATGGTTGGAGCAGATTGACTTCTTTGCTCATTTTTCTGTCTACATATGTTCCCTGCCCTTCATTTTGGCCAAGTAATTCCTTACTCTCCTTAGCTCTTTGGCTTTAAGAAATTTTTTTGTTCTCCATGTCTCACTTTTAATTGTAGCGGTTTTCACATGGGTTATTGAAATGCCATTAACCAACTGTTTCTAGAAATTATACTACTATGTTTAAAAATAGAAATCTTGTTTTTGTTTTTTTAAATATTTATTTATTTGTTTGAAATGCAAAAGGACAAAAAGATATGAAAGAGATCTTCCATCTGCTGATTCACTCTCCAGATGGCAGCAACATCCAGGGCTATGACCAGGAACTGAAAACACCATCCTAGTCTCCCACATGGGTGCAGGGACCCAAGTACTTAGACCATTGTCTTCTTTGCCAGATGAATTAGCAAGGAGCGGGATTAGAAGTGGAGCAAAGTGAATTGAAACAGCACCTCCAAAGTGGGATGCTAGTATTGCCAGGGGCAACTTATCCCACTGGACCACAATGCCAACCCTTTGTTTTGTTTTAATTTGATAGAAAAGTGCTTAGTTTGTAATTTTCATGTGCTTCATTGTGTTCAAAACTTTTCAGTAGTGTGTTCTTTATTATTTTTCCTCATGATCATTTTCCATTTTTTTGCATAAAATAACAACTTTTTTTCCATTGGTTGCATGTTGAAAAACATTCTATTGTCACTCTTCTTTTCGTTGATAGTATTTTGCTTAGAAGCTAGGCTAATAAACAGCTTGAATGTTTGATCGTTTGGAGACATTTTCACACTAATATTATTCTCTAATTTATGACTCGCTTCCTGGCTAGGCAAGCCTTCCTGAAGGCACATATATTAATGACCTCTCCTTTTCTCTCATATTCCTGTAGCTATTTTCATTTCCAGAATTAACAGAGACATAGGCATCTTTATTCTGTTAACTTAGTCATGCTTTTTTACTCTAGAGGGGATTTCTCAGTACCTAGCTTGGCTCTCACTAAGTTTTCATCTTTACTTTCAATTATCTGGCAGTTTCTAATCTTCCATTTCCTAATGTTCACTTTTCTTACCGTTGTTTTTCTTCTCTGTCTTTAAGTGTTTACTGATTGATATATAAATCAGTGTCATTTTTCCATCATGTATGTAATGAAGCTTTGAATTAATCATAAATATGCTTTCTCTGTTAATGATTACTATGTATTCTTATGCTTATTCTCAAAATCAGTGCAAAAGTAAGTAGGTATCCATGGAGAAACTATAATTATATTTTTAAAATCTTCTCTTAAAAGATACTGATCCACACAAAATTTCGCACATGAATGTTTATGGCAGCTCTACTTATAATTGCCAGAATTCCAAGTTGTCTTTAAGTAGGTGAATGGATAAATATCCACACAATGGGATATTTTGTAGCAATAAAAAGAAATGAGCTATTAAGCCATAAAAAGACATGAAGGAAACTAAAATGCTAATTTCTAGGTGAACAAAGTCAGTCTAGGAAAGATACATATTTTATGACTCTGACATTCTAGAAAAGGAATAATTATAGAGATAGTAAAAAAAGATTAATTATTTCTAGATGTCAAAGAAGTGGAAGAGGAATAAAGAAGTGGAGCACAGGGGATTTATAGAGCAGTGAAACTAACTGTATGATACTGTAATGATGAGCATATGACACCATGCCTTTGTCATAACTCATCTGTACAAGACAAAGTGTGAATCCTAATGTAGACTTTAATTAATAATAACCTACCCATACTGGTTCATCAGTTGTAACAAATTTATCACTAATGCAAGATGTTAACAGGGAAAAACGTAGGGTTGGGAACCTAGGATTAATAGTTTATAAGAACTCTGCACTTTCTTAGTCATTTTTTTGGTGAAAATATATGATATTCTAAAGAGCAAAGCTAGATCAAAGGAGTGACTTCCTAGTGTTACACAGCACAGTAGTTCACAATAATCACATATATATTTGTGTGTATATATATGTATTATATATAGTGAACAAATAGAAGGAGCTCCAAGCCTTCAATCATAAACTAATACCAAGGAAGGATAAGTGATGCTTACACTGATTTAATCAGCATACATAGTATATACATTTGTTGAAATATCACACTGTAGCCTAGAAATATGTATAATTGTTAATAAATTTTTAAAAATAAAAAGTGTATTAATTTTTAAGAGATACTATTGATGCTGAAGTAAAAGTTGATAATTGTTGGCTAAACAAAGCAATAAAATAACTGTACGTAGCCTGAAGGAAAGCAGTAAAGTAACCTCTTTTCGATATATTTATATTTTATTAGCTATTTGGAAATTATTCTACCCTTTTTAGAATACCTGCAAGTCACTTGTATTCCTGTCTTTTTCTTTTGCTTTTGATTGTTTCTATTAGGTGTACTAGCCCTGTCTTGGTATCCGCCTGATACAAATGATGAGAATGGAGAACCTACTGATGACTTGGTACCGACTATTTTGGATAAAGCTCATAAATATAATCTGAAGGTATTTTATTTCACTTTCAAGCTATTAGTAAGTTAATTTGTTTGGAGAAGAGGACAGTAATGACAATTTTTGAAGTGCTCATTTTAACTAAAAATAATGTGAAAATAATAAAATCCTTTATAACACTATTTCATAAAGAAAATGTCTAAGAATTTTAAATACTGTCTAAATTGTAATAATTTAGAGATGACTTACTATTTTTCTAGCTATGTTTAATATTAATGTATATCACTTATTTTGACAAAAACTGACTTTTGAAGGTTCTTTTCTTAAGATAAAATTAGTAGAAAAGTTAACATGTCTAAATACCTTAGATGTTAAAAATCCACTAAAACTAAATGTTAACATATGACTTTACATATTTGTAAATCAGTTAGAAAGTAAACTATTGCCTAAATATGTATAAAATCTAATTTTACCTTCTTTAACATACACACATATACACCTAGGTACATATAAAATGCAGGTGAAAGTCTGAAGACTTTCAAGAAGAAGAAGATCAAGTATCTTCTCCCCAGATACTAAAATGTATTACAAATGAGAAGAGATTTCTCACTAAGATTTTACTTTTTTATTTCAGAAATGAATGAATGATGTAAATAAGTGGTGATCATTAAAGGGATTTAAATAGCCTTACAAAAAAAATTTTAAACTGAACAAGAAAATCAACATTCTTTGATTAGAGTCCAAAGATATTTTTTGAAAAATTAGCAACATTAATCTTAATAAATGTATACAGATTATAAACATAAAACATGCATTCTTTGTGCAGTCAATTCAACTGGAAGTTAATAAAGCCAAGACTGTTGAAAATGCATGCTTAATTATTTAATTATCACATAGTTGAAAATAATGCCTACTTTGAAGAAAATATCAAAAATGAAATTTAAGATAATATAAAAGTATTTAACAGTGGAATTGCATTATCAATACTAATGAGACATGGACAATGAAATAGAAAAATTAACTAATAAAAATAATGTAAAAATTATGAGGCTGTTGCTGTAGCACACTGAGTTAACCCTCCAGCATCCTATGTGAGCAACAGTGTGAGTTACAATGCCAGCATCCTATATGAGCAACAGTGTGAGTACTGGCTGCTCTGCTTCTGGTCCAGTTGCTTGCTGAGACACCTAGAAAAGCAGTGGATGCTAGTCCAAGAATAGTCCCTGCTATGGGAGACCAGGATAGAATTTTGGGGTTCTGGCTTCAACCCAGTCCAACCCTGGCTGTTGTAGCCATTTGGGAAATGAACTAACATAGAGAAGATCTCCCTCTCTCTCTGCCTTTCACGTAGATACATCTTTAAAAATGTAACAAATAAACAGAATACAATAACTTCAAAATCAGTAGCCTGGATAAATTAGGCAGTTTTTAAGCTTTTTTTGGAAAAAAAAAATTGATAAACCACCATTGATACTAAAATTTTTTAAATAGGAAAAACATAATATGAAAAATTAAAAAGGAACATACCAGGGAGGTGGATGGACAGAGAGATGTGAGGGAGAGGGGGTGAGCAAGACAGCTCAGCCTCAGGACACCAGGAGAAAAGACTGCTACAACAGGGATGTTGGAAATTACTGTTATGGACAAGGCCGTCCAATGAAGCCTTACTGAATCTGCATACCTCATAATTAGCTGCTTAACTATGGTCTCTATCAAAAATGGAAAACTATTGCCCTCACAAAGCCCATGCTGAGGAGATGACCAAGTACCCCAGCGATGACTATGCTAAACCCATGCAGTCTGTTTGTTTGGACAACACGACTGAGTACAGCAAGCAGATGCAGAGTTTCAGTGTTGATGAGGACTCTCCAGAATGTGATGCCTGACTAAGTTCTGTCAGTTCTCTGCTGGTGACTCTGTGGCAAGTTCTGTGTAACCTAATAAACAGCAGGCGGGCATGACTGTGAATTTTCCTGGGGACCAACACCATGCAAAGAAGTCTGAGGCGTCTGGTTTCTGTTACATCAATGATATAACATCACCAAAGGATGCTGTATTTTGACCTTGATATTCAGTATGGCAATAGCGTGGATGAGACCTCCTATACCTCCTATACCATGACCACCTGGTCATGACTGTGTCCTTTCATAAATATGGAGAATATGTCCCAGGAACTGGAGGCCTTTGGGATAGTGGGACTGGGAAAGGTAATGGGATTGATGTCATGTCCTTGAGGCCGTTTTCAGTATGTTCATGCCTAAAGTAATGGAGCTGTTCCAGGCAAGCGCAGTGGTCTTAATGTCCAGTGTGCAGCTCAGACTGCCTGTCTGGGGATCCTCTGGATTGCTTCAATTCGACCCTCAGTGAGCACACCAAGTGGGTGGAATTTGTCAAGAGCTTTATCCTGCATATGCTGATGCTGGGCGGAGGTGGTTACATCATTTGTAATGTCACCAATGCTGGACATAAGAAAACAACTATGGCCCTGCACACAGAGATGCTTAATGAGCTTCTATATAATGACTGTAGAATACTTTTGAATCAGATTTTAAGCTTCACAGCAATCTTTCTAATGTGATTAAGCAGAACACTAATGAGTGTGGGGAGCAACTGGGAGCAACTCGGACTATACTGTTACTGGAATTAAGACTTATTCTATGCATCTGCTCTCCCACAATATGGCGCTGGGAGAGAAGAAAACAGCTTCTACACAGCTGCCTCCAGTTCAGCCAATAAACTGTAGGACTTGCTCCTGATTGGAGGAGAGCAGCGTGCTCGGCGTGTGGGCAGCCGAGTTGGGATTGGCAGAGGAGGACTATAAAGGAGGAGAGAGACGGCATGCACCAGGAACATCTAAGGGGAACACCTGTGCAGCCCCCGAGAGAGCCGGCCGGCGGTGTGCCGCTCCCCTGCGGAAGTGGGGAAAGTGGCCAGGGGGAACCGCCCTTCCACGGAGGTGGAAGGGACAGTAGCCAACCCGGGAAAAACCAGCAGCAAACCCGGGGAGGGCCGAGCAGACAAAAGAACAGCGCAGGGTCCTGTGTCGTTCCTCCACGAAGACGGGGAGCGACAATGAGCACCTGCGGAAGGTCAAATGTTGGCTGTTTGGGAACCTGAGAATGCTGCCCCATGTACCTGGGGCCCTCCTGAGGATGTCCTCCCAGGGGACAGTGGTCATCAAGACAAGCAATACCTTGACAGGTGCGTTATAGTCTGTTCCTCTGACAGGTGAATTGCCTGTGAGGAAGAGTTCTCCGACCAGTGAGGGAGAAGGTGGCTGCAAGAATTCTTCCAACTTCAGGAAAGCCAGGAGAGTCAAAACAGAAGATGAAAAAGATGGTCCAGTAGAAAAGAAAAAAGTAACAGAAGAGAAGAAAATCCAGGAAGAAACCAGAAGCCAAAGGGGTCAAAGAGGAGGTCAAGTTGGCTGTAGCAGAACTCTCCCGAGGTTTTTTATTTTAATTTTTTAATATAATTTAGTTATTTAAAAATTAGAGCTACACAGAGAGGGAGAGACAGAGAGAGGTCTTCTATCCACTGTTTCACCATCCAGATTGCAAATGCTGGACCAGGCCAAAGCCAGGAGCCAGGAGCTCCACCCGGTTTCCCATGTGGCTGGCATGGGCCCAAACAGCAGAGCCATCTTCCATTGCCTTTCCCAGGCCCTTAACAGAAAGCTGGATACGAAGTGTAGCAGCCGGGACATGAACCTGCACCCATATGGGATGCCAGCATCACAGGCAGCAGTTTTGCCATCTATGCCACAACACTGGCCCCCTAATCTGGCTTCTTTATAGCTTTTTCCTACCATTTTTCCCCTCAAGACCTCAAATTATATATTTTTAAATTTCTGTGTATTTACATAAAATAGATAATACATAAATATCCCCATGGGCCAGACAAGAACAAGGGTCTTCAGCCTAGGGTAGCCAATCTGGGTAAACTTTTTTTTTTTAACTTTTATTTAGCAAATATAAATTTCCAAAGTACAGCTTATGGATTACAATGGCTTTTTCCGCCCCATAACTTCCCTCCCGCCCGCAACCCTCCCAACTCCCGCTCCCTCTCCACTTCCATTCACATCAAGATTCATTTTCAATTCTCTTTATATACAGGAGATCAATAGTATATATTAAGTAAAAATTTCAACAGTTTGCACCCACACAGAACATAAAGTGTAAAATACGTTTCAGTACTAGTTATAGCATTAATTCACATTGAACAACACATTAAGGACAGAGATCCTACATGAGGAGTAAGTGCACAGTAACTCCTGTTGTTGACTTAACAAATTGACACTCTTGTTTATGACGTCAGTAATCTCCCTAGGTTCTTGTCATGAGTTACCAAGGCTATGGAAGCCTTTTGAGTTCACTGACTTCGATCTTATCTAGACAAGGCCATAGTCAAAGTGGAAGTTCACTCCTCCCTTCAATGAAAGCTGCCTCCTTCTTTGATGTCCCGTTCTTTCTACTGGGACAGAGATCTTTCATTTAGATCCTCTTTTAAAATACTCTCATGAGCTCTTCAGCCAGATCAGAATGCCTTAAGGGCTGATTCTCAGGCCAGAGTGCTGTTTAGGACATCTGCCATTTTATGAGTCTGCTGTGTATCCCACTTCCCATGTTGGATCGTTCTCTCCCTTTTTGATTCTATCAGTTAGTATTAGCAGACACTAGTCTTGTTTGTGGGATCCCTTTGACTCTTAGACCTATCAGTATGATCAATTGTGCCCTGAAATTGATCACTTGGACTAGTGAGATGGCAGTGATATATGCCACCTTGATGGGATTGAATTGGAATTCCCTGGCACGTTTCTAACTCTACCATTTGGGGCAAGTCAGCTTGAGCATGTCCGAAATTGTACATCTCCTCCCTCTCTTATTCCCACTCTTATATTTAACAGAGATCACTTTTCAGTTAAATTTAAACACCTAAGAATAATGTGTGTTAATTACAGAGTTCAACCAATAGTATTAAGTAGAACAAAAAAAATACTAAAAGGGATAAAGTATTAAGTTGTTCATCAACAGTCAGGACAAGGCCCGATCAAG